ACGTTTTATAACAATGCTTATCAGTTTTAACATTCCAACAAATTATTTTAATGATTTAATAAAAAATTATTTTCAGATCTGTTTTTAGCAAAATTTTTAGACCTTTCAACAAAATCGTTCTTTCCGTGTACGGGCTCCATTTTTAAATTTTATAATTGATTATACATAACAATCTCTCTCTCTTTCTCTTTCTCTCTCTTATATATAATATAATAATTTCTATTTATATCAGTGACTTATATATAAGCCAAAGTTAAATATTGCGTATTAGACTGCTAAACAAAGTCCCAAATAGCATTCTCTAGAATAATATTTTATTTACTACAATGGCTTAAAAGAACTTATAAAAAGAATATCGTATGAATCTCATTTGAATAAATTTGATAATACGACTTTTTGTTTAGATATAATCCACTTGAAAATGTATCCGTTACAACTAGCTACTTTGGCATTAAGATACATATCTTTGTACATCATGAAAATGTATTTATCATTATCTCACAGGAAGTGCGTGTATTTCTTGACGAAGCAAAGAATGGAGCCATTATAATATCGCTCGGAACAAATGTGAATTGGAAATCTTTCGAACAAAACAAGATTAAAGCTGTTATAATGGCTTTATCAAAATTGGAGCAACGAGTGCTATGGAAGTTGGATATTGAAGAAATACCATTTAAAATACCGGACAATATAATGATTACGAAATGGATATCTCAAAGAGAAATTCTATGTACGTTTCTTAATTCCAGAAAAATACGAAAAATATGAAACTTGATAGGAAAATCTGGAGACATTCCTTTTTAATTTGGTTAAAAATCTCCAAAAAAAAAGAAAGATTAAAACATTCTTATGATCATAGATATTTTAATAGTATTATATTTAAGAAATTGAAAACTCAAGTTAAAAAGTAATTAATTTAGTAATTAATTTTTGTTTATCAGATTAATATTTAATAATTAATTAATTTAAGTTTCTTCATTAACTTTTTTTATTTTAATTAGAAAGTTTATAAAATTCAAATTTTAGATATTATTATAACATCATTTTTAAAAATAGTATTGAGTAATAAATAAGATTTATTATTGTGAGAACTATTTACACTTCAAATATTTATTACATAGAATCGATATGAAATCGAAAAGCATAGTTTATACATATATATACAGTGTACTTTACGTAAAGTTGACCGAGAAGCAATAGAATCTATAAAAATATTGGCAATTAATTAATTAACATAAGAATAATTATAATAGCATTGAAAATGATAAAAATATCAGATATTTCGACATCGATCATTTATTGGACGTATTGATTCGACTAATCATTTCTGGCGGGGTATCTTATACAATAATCTTTTTATAATAAAATTAGTTATTGTAATAAAAAAATTTGTATTTTGTTTAAAAATAATTTACAGTTTACAAAAACTGTTGATTTAAAAGTATATTGTACTGTACTAATTTAATAGTTTTTATACATTTAACAAAGTGCTTGATTAATTTTAAATTTTGATCATAATAATTGAGAATTAAAATTTGTTATAATAAATTGTTTAGCTCATAAGAATGTAAAAGCAATTTGGTTGCATGGTGGACTTCTCAGCACGCAAGAAGCTATTTGGGTTGGTGTACCAACGATCATTACGCCTTTTTTTCTGGATCAAAAATCTAATGCGGAAATATTAGTAGCTAAAGGTGTTGGTATACGTTTAGATTTTAAAACTTTATCCACGCAGTCTTTGTTACACGCGATGGAAGAAGTACTTTACAACAAAAGGTATACATATTTTTATTATTATTTTAATTATTATTATTTAAATATAATGTGGGGGCCGTGGCACACATGGTAGTGTGCCTGCTTTCCGTGTAGGAGATCCGAGTTCAAAACCATCTAAAACTCAAGTAAATAAATAAAAATAAATAAAATAAAAATCGGCCCCCACCGGTTCTTCCGGCCAACCGACAGTCA